AGGAGTGCTGCAAAACACCTGGGTTATGGCATTGCTGGGTTATGTCCCCCCAGCCCTGCTCTGTACAAAACCACAGCACTCCTGAATGTTTTCCTAATTTCCCAGAGCATGGGAAGTTTGGAAATACCACTCATTTCTAGTTCCAGGCTTCCTAGGACGTGCTTTGCACTGCTCCTCGTGCCAGTCCCTGGGGAGTGAGCCCAGAGCCCATTCATGTGAGAGGGATGCCAATGGCTCAGGGCTGACCTGGAGCTCACACTCAGCTCTGTGTGCTCTGCCCTGCTCCCAAACCCAGCACATCAGACACAGCTCAGGTGCTGAAAAGGCTGCAGGGACCCTGCCTGGGCCCTCCTCACACAGACAGATGGGGCTGCATCACAGCACTGCAACATCCTGAAGCTCAATCCCCGTTCCCCCCTCGAAGGAACAAACCAATTTTGATTTATATGAACAACAGCTCACAGACAGAGTATTTCAGAACTTGCAAAAAACATTTATAAATGGCTAAATATTAAAAAAAAAACCCAAAACCTCCATAAAGACTTCAGAGCACTGCTAAGTAGAGCAACATAATAGGTTTACCAAGATATAAAGCAGCCCTCCCAAAATACACAGCTCAGACATGCCCTGCCAGCAGAAGTACTCAATGTTTAAGATGAGGAAAGAGAGATTCAATGAGGATTTGTTTTCCTGGCAGCCCTCCATACGTGCACATAAACCTCTTGTAGCAGCACACTGATATTTAAACTAATTAGCACCAGGAAAGCCTCGGGACTGTGCTTTTCTCCCAGCCTGCTCCCAGGGACACAGGGGCTCCAAAATCTGACTGTGATCACATCCCACTCACATCCCAGGACGCTGCAGCCCCAGCACACACCCCCCCCCCTTACACAGAAACACGGGGCAGGACACTTGGCAAAGGGAAAAAAAAAAATTAAAAAACCCTTCTGCCTAAACTGCCCACTCAGCACTATGTGAGAGGATAAAAATAGCAGGCAGGAGAGCTGGCCCTGAATACCAAGCAGAATTCCCACCCAAATCAACTTCCCCTTCACTCTGCTCTCCTGCAGGCTGCACGTTGCCTGAATTTCCTATTCCTCATAAACACAGCCAGTGGGGATTTAGCTCTGGGGAGCTGCAGCCTGGCACATCCAGCATCATCACTCTGGCAACCCCCCACCAGGCTCTGGAAAAAGCTCCTGACTTCCAGAGGAGAAAGGACAGCCTGGGGGGGGTGGGTTTTGTGAATATTCAACACCCCTGCACAGCAGGCCTGCCTATTATTAGTATAGGGGATGTCAAAGAAGCTCCTGTCATGCAAAGTTTCCAGTCTAGCTAATTAACAGTGGCTTCCTCCAGCATGTAAATTTGGGTTTTAGTCCCTCGTACACAAGGAAGGGAGGGAGGGAGCAGAGAACAGGAATGGCTGCAGTTCATCTTTAAAGGCTGGAAATTAAATCTCTCAGGTAAGACAGACAGAATTAACACACATCCACACACTGCTTTAGGAAGGGCTGAATTTCCCTTCCTAAAAGGAAAAGCCTGGATGTGGCACTCAGTGTTTAGCTGAGGTGGTGTTAGGGCATGGGTTGGACTCAATGATCTTAAAGATTTCTTCCAACCTAGTGATGCTGTGACTCCTCCTGGAGCACATCCCCAGAGCACCTGCCTGCAGAGAGCTGAGCTGATTTAGACTGAGCAGCCAACAAGAAGCACAAAGTTCCCTCACAAGGGGCAGCAGAGGCCAGAGATTTGGCTCAGGATGGGACTGTCACCCTCTGCTTCTGACATGCAGGCCATCAAACACCTCCCAGCACTGCTCTGGGGCTGCAGGAGGGAACTCACTGCTCCCCTTGCCCCAAGGATCAGCCACATCCCAGCTGCCAGGACCTGCCTGAGGGGAAATCAAGAGGCAGGAGAGATGCTGAGGGTCCTGGCAGGGCACTCTCTGCAATCTCTGCTGCAGCAAAGCCTTCAGTTCAGGGCACCTTGAGGGCTCCTGAAAGTTGGTCTTGATTGTGCCAAACTGCTGCCATAAAAGCAAAGGCTCTAAGTGACCCAAGTGCTAAACCAAAATGCTCTGCACATAAACTGCTTCAACACAAGAGTTTTCTCCAAGCTGAAGAGTGTACTCTGGAAAAAAAAAAAATTAAAGACTGAAAGCTTTTAGAAGTCTGACCTTATTTATTTTTACCTGCTTCTTAAATTAGGAGAGAAATAAAACAAAATATTGTATGGCTCTACATGAACCATCCTGCAGTGCTTCAGTTTCTTATTCCAACCTACAAAGTGGGAACAATGACCTTATCTACTCCATAAAAAACTTCTCCAGCTTGTGCCCAGATTTCAGACACTCTTGCTTGGAAGGATAAATCCCTGATTTCTGCTCTGCTCTGCCACCTCACTGCTGTCAGCTGTCAATGAAAGCACCTGACAAGAGACACCCAGGCCCACAAATCTCACCCCAAATTTATCATTCTTGCCAGAGCAGAAACTTCTCTCTGGCCAAGAGGTGATTTGCAGCCCTAAAGATCTTCACAGAGCTTGGGGCAGAGGTGACAGATGACTTTTCCAGCACTTTTGTGAGCCACATTTATGTATCTTGCCCCTGCAGCACTTGCACAGCACCTCTGATTTATAAACCCCAGCAAAGGTTACAGAGCTACCTGTTTGCCACAATTTAAAACCAAGCTGCTTCATGAACAGACCTCCCCAAACCCCAATCTGTGCCTCAGTGGGGCACAGGTTTTTGGCAGGGCAGTGTCTGAGCCAAACAGCACCCAGGGATGTCCGGGGTCATGAGCAGCTCAATTCCCCTGCCAGCACCACAGGAGGAGCAGTTTCTTAGCTAACCCTTCCCAAACTTCAGCAGGGTGCTTGGTTTGCTGAGCTTTCAGCTTTCCACAGCTTCTCTAAGGGTCTCTTGATGCAACCTGGGCTCTGTTTGCAACCTGAAACAGGCCTGGCTTTATCAGGATGCTCAGGGCACAGATAATTCAGGAGCAATTTTGTGTCAAAACAGCACCTTGGCTTCCAGGAGGGCCTCCAGGACAGCCATGAAAGTTTGTCATCTCTTCAAAGCAGCAAAATGTTTTATTGTTTCATATTGTTCTTTTTTTTTTTTTTGTGCTAGTAAATGCTTTGCCTATTAAATAAAGTTTTTTTTTCCACTTTTCTCCAATAAATCTTTTCCCAAACCAGTTGGGGAAGGGGCTGCTTGAGTTTGCTTTCTAAAAGGAACCCCCCCTTTGGAGGTTTTCTCCCAGATTTGCCCTAAACTAAGACAGCTGCAAAGGCTCCTCTTAAAGGATTAATTAAGATGTAATAAAGTGATTAATGAAGAACCAAATGCATCCATGCCCTGGTCAGTACCAGATCCTCAACATGGGTAACACACCTGAGACATTCCAAGGCAGGGCTTGCACACTGCACAACAGGAGATTCCACTGCTCTGCAGTCACCTGCCTTTACCCTGGCCCCAAGGACAAACAGCTTTATTGGACCTGGATCATTTCATCTTCCAGGAAAACTTTGTTCAAAGCTTTAGATGTTCAGCTTGTCTAAAAGCAGAACAGCTTTCCTGAGTTGAAAGGAGCAGTTCATGTCTCGGCAGCGACGTAGGAGCCAAAGGGAAGGAAGAGAAAAAGAAGAGCTGAACTCCTTGGCTATCTCTTTGTAGCTCAGCCCTCAAAAACTCAGCAAAGAAAACACAAGTGATGCAAGATGGAATTCCAGAAAGTCACAAGCCACCAAAACTCCAGCAGCCCAATCCTGCATTCCCTGGAAACCAACACCAACACAAGGAGAAGTCACTCACTGCCAACCTACTGCTCCTGTGATGGAAAAACACAAACACAGGCCAGGGCCCCCCTGGAAATCACATTTCAGGAAGGCAGTGCATCAAATATCAAAGGGGAAAGGAATACAATAAAGGGCTGCTAAGGAAGGACAGCAGTGGGGAGGGAAAGAGGCACAGAGACACAACAGAAGGTCAGTTCCCCTTTCCAGTCCAGCAGGGAAATTCCTGGCTCCTAGATCATCCTTTGTTCCTGTGCCCTACAGGAACAACAAGGGCTAAACCTCTTGTGCCCTGCTCAGTAGAAAACTCTGCCTGCAGCACCCTGCAAGCTGGGAAATCTATTGGCAAATTGGGAAATCCATTGGCAAATTGGGAAACCCATTGGCAAATTGGGAAACCCATTGGCAAATTGGGAAATCCATTGGCAAATTGGGAAATCTATTGGCAAATTGGGAAATCCATTGGGTTTGGGACAATTCTGTTGGGTACCAGGGAAACCAAACTCATGAGCACTACAAATCCAAAACAAGACCATCAAATAACCAAGGTCTCCACACTTCAAACACAGGGCACAGCAAACAAACCAACCCCCTGCCCAAGCAAGGAAACATATCAGATAAATTAAACCATTTTTGCCATCTTTCCTGAATTTTTCCCACAGAAAAGTATGAACACCCCCAGGCCCACAACAGCTTTTACTTCCCCCAGTAGAAGCATCATTCACAAAAGAAAAAAAAACAAGTGGATTGTGCCTATATTTGCAAAACACTTTGGGAAAGAAGCAGTGACATGGATTTGTCACCGAGATGGTGCTGGGAGCAGCACCAAACCCAAAGGACACAGGGCTAAAAAAGGAAGGAGAAAAAATAAACCCATCAAAACCAGGGAGCAGATCTGAAGGCAATGTGAAACGTCACAGTTCCCTCCACCTGCAAGGAACACTGAGCCACAGGCAAGGAGGCCCAGTGACAATCCAAAATCCTCTGCTATACACTGAGGGATTGATTTGTGGAGAAGACAACACACTAAAGCTCCAAAATAACAACAAACCCCCCCCAAAAAAAACCCCTCCATGTGTGGCTGAAGGACCCAGGCATGGAGGATGCTGTTAGTCAAGCTTATTGTTATCAACACAAAGGCCAAAGCAGGCAAATCCCAGCCCTGAGAAGCAGGCAGAGGCACGTTCCACACAGCTCCTTACCCGACTGATCTGCAGCTTCTCAGCTCCAGGCTTGAAGAGGTTCCATCGACGGCCGTTCCTGCAGTTCCCGCGCACCTTCAGGGTCTTTGAAGCCTGCTCGTTCTCAGCTGCCAGGAGAAAATCCACGGGAACAAAGGGGGGAAAAAAAAAAAAAGGGAATGACAAAAGATAAATGCTGTGCTTTAGCTCAGGCTGGGGGCGGAGGCTGTTCTTTTAAATGAAAGAAACAAAATTGTTTGCAAGAGACTCATTCAACCTCTCCTTTAGAAAAAGAGAGCACGGAGTATATTTAGGTGCTTTATTCAGTGCTCTTGGGATACGAGAGAAATAGTGCAGCTTGGATACTACAAAAAGGCAGAGCTGGGAGCCACATCCCGAGCTGGGGTCAGCCCAGCCGGCTGTGCAGCCGGGATGCTCTGCCAGGAGCTCCAGGAGGAGGAGACCCTCAAGAACCTGCACCAAGCGTGCACAGAGCAGCAGATCCCTGGTCACAACTGCAGCAGAACCTGCAGCAATCCCAGTGCACACCCACTGTGGGCACAGAAAAAGAACAGCTCCTCCAATTTACACACCAAACAGAAATGGGGAAGTCCATAAAAGCAGGGTTTTTTTAAGGAAACTGGGTTGAATCCCCCAGTGTTTCAGGCCAAGCCCTCACAGATGCATTCCTGCTCTAGCTTTGAGTGGTACCACTCACACCAGACCTCAGCCTGGCCCTGCAGATGGCACTACCCAGGCACAAAGCAGCTTGTGAAGAAAAAGGGGAAAATGAGCTCTACTTTTCCAATCAACCAATATTTTCAGCTCCACATCCTATCCCTCTCTTTTTGGGCTGAAGCTGCCATTCTGTATGAGATCAGATTTTTCCCTCCTACATTTGGCACGATTTTAATCCCTTCTTCTATCAGGCTCTTTGCAACCCCTGGCCTGGAGGGAAGGAAAGAGAGCTGAGCACCACTGGTGCCCCCATAGCAGCTGCCAGCACAGGTACATGTGCCACATGCATCCCCACAGGTGTATCCAGCACCTGGAGGCTCCTCATCCCAGCCATGGAGCAAGGATCTACAAAAAAAAAAAAACAGCCACATCCTGCAATTCCTCCCTAAAAGATGCACAAGGCTCAATTTCCATCTCCTGACATTCCTCTAACCAGACAGAGGTTTCAGACTGTGCCAGTCCTGAGGGGTTTGAGACCAGAATAAATGGCTGCAGGCTTTGGCAGAGTGGAAAGCCCCAAACCAAACATGTGAGGGCTGTGCCCTGCCCAGACCAGAGGGCAGCAGGGCTGGGATGCTGCTGCACACTGCCTGGGCAGCCATCCTGATTTTCTTCCAGCGTTGCTGGGAGAGAGATTGCACTGAGACCTATTTCCTCAGTGCTGATGCAGGCAGGCTGCTGCTATTTTTAGCAGCCCACGTTTCACTTTGGAGACTCTTGGAGAGGCAAGGCTGCAGCACGGGGCTGGTTACAGCAGGAGGCCACGGGATGGAGCAGGGATGTGCAAACAGGGAATTCTCCCTCTGAGGGGCTGTGTGTGACCCCCCCCTGTGCTGGGAACTACTGCACCCCAACAGCAGAGCCATCAATTAACAGCACAGGCAGCTAATTAGCCTTGTCCTCGCCAGTTGTTCTGAAGTGATGTGATGCCACCATCCATCAGCCCCTCGGATCCCCCCCGAAGTGCTCCCAGCACAATCTGGCAGCACTTCCATGCTCACCCTCCACTAAATCACAGCATTCTTCATGCCAGCAGTGGCCCTTCAGGAAATCATTTCCCCGCTCTCATTATCAATCTCTTTAATTAGGAGGTTCAAAAAATGATGTCACCTATTGTCATCAGCCAATTCACCTGCCAGCAAACACATTCCGTGGTGCTCTCTCTGGTGTCACTGGGAGCAGGACAAATGCACAGAGGTCACCTCAGTTGTTGGATCCCAGAAATCTGGAGTTTTTAAGTTTTCTGTGCTTTCAGGCACTGACCCTCTGGAAAACACTGCTTTTGACCTGAGGCCTTGGTGATGGCTCCCAAATTTGAGTGATGGAGTAAAAATCACGAGTGTGTTGTGAATTAGAAGTGTGTGCTTTCACAGGGTGATGGGTTTTAAATTTGGGGCTTTTATAGTACAGTAACAGATATGGGACAACATGGTGGATTTTGGGTGTTCTCTCTTTCTTTGCTCATCTTTCTTCTTCTTCCTTTTTCTTTATAGATTTCAGGTAGTAGTTTCTGGTGGCTCAGTCAGTGTCACTCTAAGGGTCATGGGAATCTAGTTGTTGGGTCAAAAGTATAAATAATATCGGTGTTAATTCTCTATTGGGCTGTTTAGCCTTAAAAGGCCTTGTAGCAGTTGCCTCTGTGGCCACTTTTCCTCACTTCTGGAGCTGGAAGTGCTGTCAAACTCTCTGTACTTTCTGCTAAGATATAATAAACATCTAAACCCAAACACGAGAAAAACTGTTTCAATCGTGTTTCTGTTAATCCTGGCTCTGAAAAAAGGACAAAAAAAATGATTGACAAACCACTATTAAGTGGTGCAAAGCCCCTGCTCACACCCAGTTTTTGGCACATGAGATTCCCTCCTCTATCATGAAAAGTACCCAAGCACAAGAGGAAAAAAAAAACCAAACCCCTCACTTCGTGTGTTTCCAAACAAACATCAGAGCTGAGCTGTGATCTCAGCATCCATCACCACTCACCACCTCCAACCGTGAGTGCTCAGTGAGTACTCACCACAGAGAACAGGAATTCAAGAGAAAAACCACAAATACAAACTCACACAGCAATTTCTGTGCACACACACATTTAGAGAGAGCTGGGGAATCACAGCTTGGAAATTCCTTTCCAGGCCTGGATTTCTCCTGACTCTCAGCTCCATTCCCAGGCTGACAAGCTGACTGCAGCTTCAGTTAGGGAGGAGTCTCCCAGGGTGACAACACGGTGACAAACAGAGTGGAATTCATCACCAACATTAACCCCTGGTGTCTGTCCCGTGGGACACATCCTGAGGTGCTGTCCCAAGGATGTTTTTCCCAATTGTCCTGTCCTAGCTTCAAATAACATCATTTTTTTTTAAATACAGAATGTCTGTACAATAAATTGGCTTTTTTTTCCCTCTTTTTTGCTGTCCTTTCTCTCTCTTTTCAGCACAGTAACCACAAGTTTCTGAGCAGCTTTTACACCTCACGTGCCTGCTCCATTCATCCTATCACAACCAAATCATGGGGACTGTGCTCAGAAACGTTAAATAGAGAAAATGCCATCATTTTCTGATTTCATAAACACCAAAAAAAAAAAAAAATCCTATTAAGCAGCAAGAAAATCTCCTCAGCATGAGGCTCTCAGAGCTCCCTCACCTGGTGTCAGCACAGACACAAAACACATTCCTGGTTTTTCCACCCCTGCTGCCCTTGGCTGCATCTCCCAAAAAAATCAAGATATTGGGAAATATAAGGATTTAACAGCAAGGTTTTACAGATATGTCAGTAAAGCAGAAAGATTTTTAAATGTAGAATTTGAAGAAGGAATAGAAATTATATTAAATTTTGATATAGAAGAAGAGAATTGCTGAGCTAATTTTACTGGATAACTAAGAAGCCAAAGTGTAAAATGAGTTAAAAATAAATTTTATAACTCAGAGCAAAGGATAAATCCACCTCAAACAAAAGATGTTTTTACTAAGCAAAACGATTTTCACAAAAAAAAATATTACAAGTAAATAAAAAAAAGGAAAAAACTCCACTACAAAAAAACTAAAAAACAAGTTCTAACTTAAACTGTAACATACTAGTTTTTTATAATTAAAAAATAGCAACAAAAACATAGTAATATAATAATAATAATAATAATGATTTTTTTAGGAGTCCTTTCCTGTGATATTTCCCAGAAATCCTTGGAATTTTGGTAGATTTGGGGTGTTTTAGTGCAGATTTGAGGACTTTTCTGGCCATTTTTACTATAATTTTTAGGGGATTTTGGCCATCCAACATGCCATTTTTTCCGGATTTTTCTCCCAGTTTTTTTCCCAGTTTTTCCCTTAGAAATCCCTGGAATCTGGCTGGGTTTTGGGACCATTTTTGAAGTATTCAGTGAAATTTTAGGAGTTTTTTGAGCGATTTTTAGTGGGATTTTTAGGGGATTTTTGCGTTTCTTAGTGTGAATTTTTAGGGATTTTTCCGGTTTGTTAGGCTGAATTTTTCCTGATGTTTTTCCCAGAATTCCCGGGAATTTTGGCAGATTTTGGGTGTTTTAGTGCAGATTTTAGGACTTTTTGGGCCGTTTTTAGTGCGATTTTTGGGATTTTTGGGCCATTTTAGGTGGGATTTCCTCAGGAGTTTTTGCCCACCCATTTTCCCTTTATTTTCCTCATAAATCCCTGGAATCTCGCTAGATTTTGGGGCCATTTTTGGTGGTTTTAGTGCAGGTTTTAGTCAATGAATATTAGTCAATATTAGTTAATATTAATTAATAGTTGACATTAATTAATAGTTAATATTAATATTAATCAGTTAATATTAATGACTATTCGTCAATAACTGTCATATATTAAAAATATTATATATAATATAGCAAATAATGTATAATACATATATTATATATTATATAATTCATAATTATATATAATTAATATAAAATATAAATAACATAAATACTAATGTAATATAATAAAATATAACATTATATTATATTATAATGTAATATAATGTAATATATTAATATTCTATTATTATAATATAATGTTATATATATTACATTATATTATATTATATATTATATATTATATATTATATATTACATTATATATTATACTACATTATATTACATTATATTATATATTATTATATTATATTATATGTTATAATATAATATACATCATATAATCATATAATACAATACAATATAGTATTATTATATAGTAATATATTGTATCTTAATTAATTATAGTATAGTCATATAGTAATATAATATAATAATAATGTAATATAATATAATTAATATACAATATATTACTATATAATATAGCAAAAAAACCCTATATAATGCATAATAACCAAAACTAAAGCATCTTCAAACAAGCCCACAACTAGGAGTACCCAGGGTGAACTCCTCCCTCCTTATCCCAGCCCATAACTGAGTTCATCATCCCAATTCCCTAAGGAACGGCGGAGGTGTCGGGACTCACCCCGCCTGCGGAGCAGGTGCTGCATGCGCCCCCCGAGCTGGTCCAGCCCCATGGGCGTGCTCTGCGACAGCGGCTGCGAGCGGCAGCGCTCCACCAGAGCCCGCGGCGCCTCGGCTCCACGGCACGGCTCGGCTCCACGGCACGGCTCGGCTCCACGGCACGGCTCGGCTCCACGGCACGGCTCCACCAGAGCCCTCGGCACCTCGGCTCCACGGCACGGCTCGGCTCCATGGCACGGCTCCACCAGAGCCCGCGGCGCCTCGGCTCCACGGCACGGCTCTGCTCCACGGCACGGCTCTGCTCCACGGCACGGCTCTGCTCCACGGCACGGCTCGGCTCCACGGCACGGCTCTGCTCCACGGCACGGCTCGGCTCCACGGCACGGCTCTGCTCCACGGCACGGCTCTGCTCCACGGCACGGCGGCTGCAAGACAAGGAGCCAGCGACAGCGCTCAGACGTCGGCCACAGCACCTCGGCACACACAGGGATACCCACGAATACACCGCGATACACCAGAATACAACTCATCAATACACCATAACACAACTCAATAACACATCATAATACAACTCAATCATCCACCATACTGCAATTCATTAATACACCATAATACAACTCATTAACACACCATAATACAACTCAGTCATCCACCATACTGCAATTCATTAAGACACCATACTACAATAATACACCATAATACAACCCAATAATACACCATAGTACAATTCAATAACACACCATAATACAATTCAATCATACACCATAATGCAACCCAATAACACACCATACTGCAATTCAATCATACACCATAATACATTTCAATAATACACCATAATACAATTCAATCATAGACCATAATACATTTCAATAATACACCATAATACATTTCAATCATACACCATAATACATTTCAATAATACACCATAATACAATTCAATCATACACCATAATACATTTCAATAATACAATTCAATAATACAGAATTACCAACACAGTGCAATCTGCACCCAGTGCAATTCTGACTGCAAGGTCAGCATCTGCTGCCCCTATTGCAGCATCCTGTACAGCTTTGAGCTCAACACTTCCAGTGTCCCAGGAATTTTGGGAGTAACCCTGATGTAGACTCGCTGCTCTGCACTTTGGGGTGAGGCTGCTCTCCCATTATTCCCAGGCTCAAACTTTGTACAGCTTTGAACCAAACACTTCCAGCGTCCCAAAAACTTCTGGGAATAAGAACTCCTATGAATAACCCCTTGCTGCTCTGCATTTTGGGGTGAGGCTGCTCTCCCATTATTCCCAGACTCAGACCTTGTACAGCTTTGAACCCAACACTTCCAATGTCCCAGGAATTTCTAGGAGTAACCCTGTTGGGACACACTTGCTGCTGTCCCATTCCCAAGTCCCAGCAGGGAAGGGATTAGCTGGTGCTGAGGGCCCCAGAGCAGCAAGGGCTGGCTGTGTAAGGGACAGCAAAGAGCAGCCAGCTAGGCTGGCAGCTCACTGGTGACAACAGCTAACCACACACGTCCTTCATCTCCAGCCTACAAAACATTCACTCGAATAAAACAGCTGCAATTGATTGAAGCACCCATAAAATGGGCAAATACCTCAGTTACACCTTAATGCACTGATCCAAAGAATTGGCATTTACAGCTAAGTGGAGAAAAACGTTGGAGTTTTCCTCAATGCAACTTTTATTATTCTATTCCAGGAGGAAAAGTTCCTGAAAATGACAACTGTACCGTGACATTTTGCAGAATGGAATGTTCTTTTTAAAAACATCACAATTCAAACTCCTACTTTTCATTTTATTCTCTGTGACATGTGACACCGTGGAAGACTTGTGTATAATCTTAGAGTCAAGAAATCAGAACGAAAAAAAATCATTTAACAAAGGTCAGGGGAAGCAAACGGGAGGTGTTCCACTCCGGGAGGTTTCTAGGCTCAATCACAGACACATCTGTCACACTTCCAGGAGCCTGCTAATAACTGAGTGCCTGGGATGGTTTGGTGGATCCATCCTCAAAACTCCAGCAGCTCGTTTTCACTGATGTGCTGTTATTTTCATTTACAGATGAAGAGCAAAGCAGACAGGCTGTAATTACCCCAAAAGAAAGCCGTGGATGAATTAAGGCTCCATCTCCCAGCACCAGCATCATTTCCAATGAGCCAGTACACTTCTCTTGGCTGGTAAACAGCTGGGAGGAGGTAAAAGCCACAGAAAAACTTCCATCCAGGGAATTTTGGACACACAGTCCCTTTAGCACAAGGCCAGCAATGCTCAGAGGTTCCCCTTCCCATCCCTGCTCTGATCCCTGTTTTAATTTTGAGGCTGGAATGAGATAAAGGAAAGACACACCGTGTGTTTAAAGAAAACATGTGGAAAGCTGAATTACCCATGTGTTCCATGGCTGGTTCTATATACATGCAAAGCCTATCAGCTTTGCAAACTAAACCTGCCTTTCCCTGATGATGTTAAAAATACACTTCCCAAAAAACCCTACCCACTATAGATAGCACTAAATATAGGCTTTAATTCAAGATTTTCCTAGCACCTCCTGGTTATTATGAATACAAGCTTGCAGATAAGCTTTAGAGGTTTTGTCTCCTCTAAAAATAAAATGATTGTCAGACATAACCATATTAAAAGCCATAAATACCCAAAATCTTCATTCTGCAAGTAAATTGCACCTCGCTGCAGACAGGAATATAGCACTCTGTTGGCAGAGTAAAGAAAGTAAAGTACTATTTCTTCATTTGGAAGGACTATAAAGTTATTTGTTACAGCAGGCTGAGACACAACCCAGGAGCTGAATAACCAGGAGATGAAGAAAGCTCTGAAGATCAACTCTCCCAGATACCATTTCCTGGTCAGTGTCATCCAGCAGTGGGGAGAGAAGGGACAAATCCACTCAGCAATGCCATCCCTGCAGCTGCTCCCACAACAAACCAACCTCAAGCTAAAACTCACGACGGGTACCACCTGCAAAGAAAAGGGAACTTTGCTGCATCTTCCTCTGGTGAAAAGAAACTTGGAGCTGCACTAAAGCCAAACCCCAGAGCTGTGGGAGGATCTGAGCTGTGCCCCAGCTATCAGGCAGCAGATCTGCAAACCCCTCCCCTGGCATGTGCACACTCAGGCAAATCAGTAAATCCTGCACTTCCAGTCAGACCCACCGCAGGGAGAGCTCCTGCTTTCCCACACAGCAGGAGCAGCCGTGGCCCAGGGATCCCAAAATCCTCCTAAAGCCCTGACAGCACCCTGCACCCAACACTCTGCACCTCCGTGCCACTGGGACACTCTGGATCCCGAGCCTAGGGTTTGGAGGAAACGCTCCAACAGCTGCTCTGGAGAAACATCTGCAGCCATGCAGGGGTTTGAGCACCCTGACAGAGCCCTGAAACCAAGCACAGCATCCCATCAGCCTGGCACCTCATCCTATGGGACACACAGCTTTTGCCGAGGCTCACGAGCCTGTGGAAATCTCATTTTCACACTTCTGGCAATCCTAATTCCCCCAGAGAACGGCCTCACAAACCCAGCTGGGGTCTGTGCACAGCCACAACAAGCTGCAGCCTGCAAACCCTTTGGAGATAAAATCCTGAAGCCCAAGGAAAAATATTAGGTCCATCCAAAAAACCCTCTTATTTCCCAAAGAAGCCAGCAGAGGGCACAGAAAGACTGCAGTGAAAGCCTCTGCTCTGTCACTGCCAGGGTGACACCAGCCCAGAGGCTCCCAGATGCTCCCAGACGTGGCCCTGGGACGAGCAGGGACCTCACCCCACGGCAGATTTCTCTGCCAGAAATAAACCTGACGCTTGTTTCTGGGTCCTAAAAACTCCAAACTGATACCTGAAATCTGAATTCAGACGCCTGTTTTGCAGCCTTTGCAAAGGAGGTGTCACATCACCCACGAGCCCTGTCCACGACACACCAGCCAGTTAGGAACCCTGATGGAAGGCTGGAATTGCAAAATAAATGCAAAATAATTTGCATAATAATTGCAAAATAAATGGTACCAAAGCTGCTTTCCGTCTAAACATCATCTCAAGCTACTGGAAATCTCCAAGACAGCTCCTGGGGCTATGCCTGACTTCCTGCAGCAGCAGTTTCCCTGTAGGGATGCTGTGGTGGCTTTAGAGGTTGGAGGAGGATAACTCACTTCAGTGTAGACATGGAGAATGGAAATTATGCCCAAAACCTCGTGCAACCTCCATGCCATGTTTTACTGCACTTCTCATATCTCAGAATAAAGATGGCACTGTGATTCCAGAGCTGCAGCAGCATGAGTGGAGTGATGCATTTCCCACTGGTAATTTGTTTTTCCAATTCTTCAAAACATTTGATCTCCACTGTTTCTCAAGTTCCAATGAGAATTTGGGATGGGGTCTGAAAGCACTATCAGGGATGTGCTTTTCAATTTTTCTACTTTTCTCCATCTGCTTTTATTAAATGTTGCTGCAGTGCTATTTCCTTTAAAGCACCAGAATCAAATCCTACCAAATTACTTGCCCACATCACTCAGCTCCTGCTCAAAGACATTGGAATTTTAAAAGGCAAGACCAGGAAAGCAAAAAGCAGAGGCATTAATTGCAGACAGAACAAATGTACAGATCCCCTAAATCCCACTCCAGCATCCCTAGTGTGAAAAACTGAGGCTGGTGTAGCACAATCTCCTCACAGGGAAGTGGTAAAGTGTTTCTGTGGGAACAGGCACTTTTCTGCTTTTTTGGGGGGCAATGTTGAAGTTGTCTGGGAAATGCTTTCTGCCCTACTCTGCTCACACAGTGTAAAACTTCTGGAGAACTTGCTCAGAGCCGCTGGCCTGGCCAAACCACCCCGTCCTGGCTGCACCTTCTCCCTGCCTGTAGTTGAGCACTTCCCCTGAAATCCAAATCCTACAGTCCATCAGAGCAGCCCGCAGTGGAGGCAGCAGGGCTGTCCTGAGGAACAGGTGCCAGCAAAGAGATGGATTGAGCCCTCAAACAATAAGGGGCTGGAGTTTGCTGCTACTGTCACGCTCAGGCTGAAGTTACTCCTCTCCCGTGTTTATTTTTGGTAAAGTGTTTCC